ATGCAAAATCGATTCTGATATGTCTTATTATACTATGTTAGTAGAGCGGTTTTAATAATCTGGCAGGCCGTTTTTGTAAGATATAAACATATTATTCATACTGTTTGAAGATATGTAATCTTCAAATCAAGTAAGGATTAATTTCATCCCACAAAACTCGCACCCCTGTTGCCGTTTACCACAGTAAACCAAAATTGTAACGGGAACAAATTCTCCTTAAAAAGCCAATAGCATTTTGGCATGGTTGCAGCTTCTAACAAAACATTTCATATGCTATCATCATGCTCTAACAAACATGATGGTTCAGCGCGTTTAAAAAGTTGGGACGACAATTCATAAACCATTAACAAAATGATCGAATGATTTTGTCCTCGAATGAATTGAGTAAAAAATTCTCAAAGGGGTTTAAAAATTCTCTCCCCTTATTCCTTCTTTTTTTCTCCCCTGAGGGGGCTATTTGCCTGAGATGACAATGGATTTGGATGATAATTCAACAGTTCCAAAGGTCATACAAGATGAGTTTTCCATTGTAACTCCTCGAGAAGACTTAAATTCTATTGCCACATTAAATAGTGATCAACACTTAGCATTCAATTCAATCATGCAGGCTGTGAAATGCAATACTGGTGTAATCTTCTTTGTGGATGGCCCAGGAGGAACTGGAAAGACATATTTATATCGTGCACTATTGGCCTCAATGAGAAGTCAAGGGAGAATTGCCATTGCAACAGCAACTTCTGGAATTGCAGCTACACTTTTACTTGGTGGAAGGACAGCCCATTCAAGATTTAAGATCTCATTAAATCTAGAGGCTTCGTCCGTGTGTTCCATTACTAAACAATCAGATATGGCAAAACTGATTAGATGTGCAACAGTCATCATTTGGGATGAAGCTACAATGACAAATCGTTATGCTTTTGAAGCCTTGAATCGAACACTCATAGACATCACTGGTGTTGATTATCCATTTGGTGGCAAAATTATGGTGTTTGGTGGTGATTTTCGACAAGTACTTCCAGTTGTTCCTAAAGGTACAAAAGCGGAAACTATTGCTGCATCGATAGTCAAATCACCTCTTTGGAGTCACATTCAAATACTTCGTTTAAAGCAAAACATGCGCTCTATAAATGACCAACAGTTTGGTGAATTTCTTTTTTTTGTTGGAAATGGTGTACAACCTACCATTATAGATGAAATGATCAAAGTACCAACATCGATGGCAATACCATGGAATGGCGAAGAATCAATAGTTCAACTATTAGAAGAAATTTATCCTGATATCATAAACCATTCCTTTGATGCCGAGTATATGGTTAGTAGGGGCATAATAACTCCTCGCAATGAAGATGTCGACAAGCTCAATGAGAAAATCATTCAGAGATTTCCAGGAGAATCAAGAGTGTACCACTCATTTGATAAAGTTGAAAATGATACCCAAAATTTGTATCAACAAGAGTTTTTAAATTCCATTTCACCAGGAGGAATGCCCCCACATGCATTGCATTTGAAAGTTGGAGCCCCAATTATGCTTTTGAGGAATCTTGACCCTTCTTCTGGTTTATGCAATGGCACAAGGCTACTGTGTCGAGCTTTGAACGATAATTTCATAGATTCAGAGATTTTAACAGGACATTTCAAAGGCACGAGAGTTTTCCTACATCGCATTCCATTAAAGGCTCCGGAAAACTTGAAACTTCCATTTGAAATGACTCGCACACAATTTCCAGTTCGCCTTAGTTTTACTTTGACGATAAATAAATCACAAGGTCAAACAATTCCACATGTGGGAATTTACTTTCCGGATCATGTATTTAGTCATGGGCAACTATATGTTGCTTTATCTCGAGAGGTGTCAGATCAAACAACGAAAGTCTTGGTTAAAAAGGGTTCAGTTAATAATGAAGAAGGAGTGTATACCCGCAATGTAGTCTACAAAGACGTTTTGTTACCAAATTATTGATACATTAGGTATGTACTAAATATGTTCTTATTCAACTTATATTATGTGATTTCTTAAAATCTACAATTAATATACTTATAATATATCTTCATATAATTATTGATTGTAGGCATACTTGAAAAAATAAAGCTACTTCAGCTTTGGGAGAATTATCAAGAGGAATCAAATATGGTTGCAGATAAGAAAGTTAAAAATCAGGTATTGGCTTCACTTATGTTCAAAAAATGACGTTTTTAAAATTTTTGATTTGTAATCTGACAATATTCGCATATATTTTGAGTTTGACTATACCTTTAAATTAATGCAGGTCAAACAGTTCTCCATATACAGTCTTGGATGGAAGGTCTCTATTAAAGTTGATAAAAAACAATTGGGAAAATTAATTGTGCGAGAGCTTTTGAGGCAACGACAACATCGGTATGATAATGTGTTTGTGGCATTTTATATGAATAATTTCAATATGTTACATTTGCTAATAGTTATTGTAATCTTTTTATAGAAATCCTATCATATCTGATAGAGCAAGTATATGCAGCAAAGACAATATGGACATATATGTGGTAAAAAATCAAGTTTTATGAACTTTACTACTACGCTCCATATATTCATATTTGTGAATTTACAAATTAATTTTAGATTTTATAAATTTGTCAAACAATCAACTTACATTACTGTGAGATATTTTTCCTCAGTTTTACAGGCAACGAATAATACAAAAATTGAAAGCTTACAAAAATATGTGCAACATTGTTACAAGGTAATCTACTTATAGGTTTGTATGTATAACTAAAGTTACGTACTTCCTTTCGGTCAATTCCATCTTATTTTTTGTAGTTTAATGTTGTCATAGATCTATCGCAAAAATAGCATCAAAACAATTTGAAGAGATCATTGAACGTGACATTTGATATGAACGATGTCAATCTATGTCGATATGTAAGTTTTTAATTTTTAGATTTTGTTTACAAAAAATTAACACAATAATCACCTTTTGTGTCTTTATACATAATAAGTCAATTATAAAACCAAACTTATGTATAATTATGCCTCATAACGTACAATATAATTTTAGTCAATGTATACTATTAGCAATCTTATGATAAATATATCTTATATATTTTTCTTTCTTTTTTTTTTTGTTGGATTTGCAGGATCTCCGGTCTCATGTTATCAAATTTAGATTTTACATGAATTTTTATTGTACAATTTTTTTAGTTAAGATTAGTAAATATTTCAATTTTTTAAACACGTGTACATATTGTAATGTACATATGTTTTATTTATCAAATACGTTAATATCAAATGTTACATTGTACATAATTATTCATATGATTTATATGTATATTATTAGAAAAAATAATATCAAAATCATATTATAATTTTAAACGAGTTAGCACACGCATCGCGTGTGCCCAGCCGCTAGTACTATTATAAAGTGAACACCGGTATCTCCATGTGTCTACTTTTTTATTTAGATAGATAAAATAAGGGGATTTAAATCTCAAACTTATCTCAAATAAATAAGATTCTTACCACTCAACTAATACACAATATATGATAAATATTTTATTTTATTGTTATTTATTTGAATTGTACATTTATGGTGTGGCAACCGTTAGTGTATATATATATATATATGTATATGTTTAGGGTTGAATCTCATTTTCATTTCAGCCTCACTGTTGATTCATCCCGCCACCACCGTCGTCTCCAAAGGCGATCCCGCTACCATCGTCTACAATTTCTCCATTGCTGCCTCTTTTTCTCTCAGTTCCGAGCACTCTTGGAGAAGGTGAAGACGGAGCAAATCGATCCGAGATCTGAGTTTCATAGCTATTTATCTCTCTGTTTGTTGATGTCTCTCTTTATCTCACTGCTATTTATCTCTCTTTATCTCACTGTTTGTTGTTGATGTTGATGATGATCAGATGAAACAAATTGTAGTTGTAGTTGTAGTTGTAGTTGTTGTTGTTGTAGTTGTAGTTGTTGTTGATGATGTTGATGTCGATCCGACGATCTCGGTTTCTCTTTTTTTCTTTTTTTTTTTCTTTTTTGAGCGGGGAATTTCGGGGTCGGGATACCCGATCCCCGTTAGGGGACGGGGGTGGGAATGGTGATGGTGATAGGTCCCCGTCGGGGATCGGGCCCGGGAACGGGGACATTGTTACCATCGGGGATCGGGGACGGGGAGTATGATCCCCGGCCCGGCCCGTTGCCATTCCTAAGCAGTGGTTTGATTCTTCATCTTGATATTGATGCACAATTTTCATCTTGATGCACAATTTTCTGAGATTTTCTATCATTTTTTTTTTTAGCTTCACACACACACATATACACATATTCTGAGACCTTATATTATCATTTATTCTTCGTCTTCTTTAAATTTTTTGTAGATATATATGAGTTTGAGTAAATCGATTTGGTTTCTAACAGAGATTGTAGTGATTTGGATTCAATAGCGATTTGGTGTGTTTTCAATCTCTCTCTCTCTCTCTCTCTCTCTCTCTCTCCACAGACACAGCATATATACATGTACATATCTATATATCTATATATATACTCCTCTGTGTTCATTCAAAAATTGAATTCGAATTACCCTATTACTTATAGTCACAGCTTTAGTTGTTATATACCCTCATGTGCCTAATCTAGCAGATAAAGAAGCTGTGTTTGGTTACGGAGAAAACACAGGAAAATTAAAGAAAAACAAAATTGATCAGAACATGAAAATCCTCTTCCATCAACATAAAACTAAAATAATTTGCTATCTATAATAGTGTTATTGTTAGCAAAACCATTAAAAACATAAGAACAAGTTTTAATAAAAATTCTTAAAAATCAACTCGACAAGCCTTATCGCTTTGATGTGAGATGTCTATCTAATTACTGATCAATTTTTGTAGTATTGATATATTTTTAGCTAATTTTATGTTTTATATTCTTTACTTTTTATCTGCAAAAGTGATTGGTATGACCTATTCACTTGGTTTGACATTATTCATGGAACTTTATGTACATTTTAATGTGCATAGATTTTCATGGGCCCAAAAGAAAGAATGAAGCCCAAAACCAAGATAAAATATTGACATGTATTTCTCTAGAGTATATGGTCTGTTGGACATTGACATTGCTGAAGGATCAAGAACCTTTTAATCTTGTTTAGTGTGCCCTATATTGCTTAATTAAAGATATTGTGATAATATAATTATCATACAAATTAAAATGATGTTGAATCCTACAATGGCAAGGTTGTTTACAGGTGGTCTTCCAGTAACCGACTTCTAGGTACAATTTTTCTCTCTTGAAAAGCTACTTAAAAAAAAGCACGAGACTTCTGTTAAAATGGGATTTGGGAAGAGTAAGATGTACGTAGTCTAAACGATTCTTGAATTTGTTTTGGATTATGTTAGGTCGCAAAGGAGATCCGAAGCCAAGTTGTTACCTTGTTTGAGATCAATCACTACTAGATAACCAGTCTGAATTTGGTGATTCTGAGCCTTCAGAGACTCCAAGACACAGTCATGAAGTGATTTGCAATTCGAGAAATGATAGTTTCAATAGTCCTGTACAGAAACACCAGAAATTTCATTCGAGTTCATTTTCATTTGTCATGGAGCATTGTGCGGAGGAGAGGCCAGGTTAGCCCTTGCTCCGCATAGCCACTGCTCCAGTGACTCCGCCTGCAACAGTAGGAAAAAAACCGTCTGTAGCTCAATGGGTAATGAGCTTACCAAACCGACCTCCACCCGAATCTCCTTAATCCAAGGCCAGTTTTAGTTGAATTGAAATAGAAAATTCTTTGGTGGTAGAGAATCTGGACAAGCTTATCAAAACAAATTCATCTGGCTGCAAATGGTTCGCCTATGATGTCATTAAAACATCTACTTCTCAATTCTCTTTAGGTCTTTTGGCCTCTAATTTTCTTTGACAAGGTTTATGCGTTTCCAATTCAATTGCATTCTGTGCGTAACTTGTGGTTCGATTGCAGATAAGTTGATCGATAATGGAGGGTATAATCATGTGTACATGGGGCTTCTTCCAAGTGGGAAGCGGGTGGCGGTGAAGGTGTTGAAGTCTAGCAAAGAGGCGTGTAAGGATTTCACACAGGAAGTAGATGTCATGAGCTCATTGAAGCATGAAAACATCACTCCTCTGCTTGGGATTTGTGTTGAAGACAATGAACTAATCTCTGTTTATGATTTCTTGTCTGGAGGAAATCTAGAGGAAAACCTACATGGTAAATCTTCTCTGGAGATATTCTTCTTTCCATTACTATGTAATAGGCCTGTCAACTGATTGGATTTAATCTAAAAGCCGAATCCATTAACAAAAATTCTGTTCAGATGATTTTTTTATCAGATTTGTCAGAATTGGATCGATTTTGGGTTTGGATTGTTTTTATGACCAATATCGGATTCGGATTGACAGGCCTACTTAAGGATGGATGGGAAATTTATGCTAATTGGTTGATCTCTGAGATAGGTAATAGCAAAGAAACATCTGTATTGTCATGGGAATTGAGATTCAAACCAGCTGTTGAAATTGTTGAAGCCCTAAATTACTTGCACAATGAATGTTCTGGGCCGGTCATTCACAGAGATGTCAAGTCTTCAAACATTCTTCTCTCTAATGAGTTTGAACCGAAGGTGGTAGTTATGACAGTTGAAAATCTACACAAATGTTTCAATCCCCAATGTATTTGCTTCAGGTGTTATAGGTCTGTGATTTGTGGATAGAATCTTACCTTACCAACTTATTCTTCTCTTGTTTAGATTGCTTGCTTATCATTTATCCTTTTTCTTTTCTTTTTTTGTGTGTGTGTGAGTGGTTGTTGTTGTTGTGTGCAGGATTGACTGCTGCTTCATTTTGTTACTTGCAATTCCTTCCACCCCATATGACATGGATGGTATTTCCTTACTGTGCCAAAACATTGTTATTTTCAATTGTTTGATCTCTTTACAACCATAGGTCTGTAATACAACTATATGGGATTAATCTGTCTGATATATTTGAAATTTTCTTGCACCTGTTCGATTACTATTTTGAATCTGTATTTTTGTGTTATATATGCTGTCATTCTAGTTTAGATTTCCACCTTGTGCCCTTTATATGAGTGATTTCTTTTGCACAGATAGTAAATTATAGGGTTGAAATAAGATTTGGTTATAAGTTAGGCAACAAAACTCTTTTATTGAGAGTGTCTACCCTTCTGAAATTTTTAGTAAGGTTTAACTTCTTGTGTAAAATTGCTAGAGAAGAAAGCTTCTTTATTACAATCTAAGGGGACTGTGATCAATTGAGGAAGATATAACCTAGGATCTCTTATTCGGATACAAACTCTGCCACTGCTCCTTGTATTTATTTTGAAAGAATGAGAACCGTTGAAATGAAGTCTTAGTACTTGTTTGTTTTACATGTCTTTAAAATGAGTAATTTTTTATATATTTTTTCAAATTCTTTGAATGAATGTTTTTCGTATTGCTTTATTAGTTTCTTTCTTCTGAATGCAACAACACCCCTCTTTCCCCGGCAATGCGGTTAAGGGGGGTGTGGTTTGGTAGTATTATGAATGTATATGTATCATTGCAAGCATATAATAGTCCTATGTTCTTTTATGTTTTTCTACCTCTGGCAGAGCTCCAATTTATGTAATAATTTCAGTTTAGATGATTGATTTGTGCCTTGTGGAAAACAAACTATTAAGTCTTCATCTCTCTTTAGGCCTACTAGACTTTATCTGAATATTGTGTTCTCTTCTTCTTTCGGACTTTTACTGCCAAAGTATTTATGCAACTGTGAATTATTTTTGTTCAGATCCGGTTTTCTTGCAGCTTTTAACCACCAATCATTGAATTTGCATTTTTTTTGGGTGCAGGCACCTAGTCAAGGAAGGGTTGCCGATCCAAATATTATGAAATACACTCTGAAAGTTTTTCCTGTGAGTGTTTTTGAAGCTTAATTATAAATTTGATTGTATCAACTTAATTAATGTGCTTATACATTTGCATCACTTTTGCTCTCCAAAAATTCAGTCTGTCAATCTATCAATTTTTTATTTTTATTTAAAAAAAAAACTGACAAGGAAGTGAACATGGATATCCAATCAACAACCTAAATGGAGAGAGCCTACAATATGACAACAAACAGTACACGCTGCAATAGTAAATCTAAGGTTGAGGCAAAAATAATGTATAATGTATTTAGGCAAGGTTCCCTGTTCTTAAACAGAGTAAATAAAAAATGAGTTTCTTAATTAGGTGAATGATCCTTGTATATTTAAAAAGTTTAGAATGTAACAATGTGAACTGGTGTAATTTTCTAATGATTATCTTGTTCTACAAGTCCTTTAAAAATATGTGAAGAATGGGATATCAATTACTGCACCATTCCAGGATGAGTGATGACATACCAGTTGACAAGGATACTAGCTTTGAGTTTGCAACTTGATAGGTCAATTTTTAGAAACTTTGAATTTGGAAACTTTTTAAAAGCATTTTGGAAACTTTTGAGTTTGGAAACTTTGAATATACTCAGAGCTATATACTCATTATGATTTGGGAATAGAGTGTCTTTGACGTGTGGATGTCAATTTTTTTCTTTTTATTTTTTATGATTGGATGACATTTAATTTTTATGCATTTTTAGCTATCCCAACTTTGATTTTTAGCAATGAAAATGTGTTGTAGAGAAAGTTATTTGTCTTTTAGCGATCAAATATCATTGTCATTAAAAATGTCATTATTTTGTTTTTCGCAACCAAATTGGGATATTTTGTGACGAAGTATTAGCAACCAAATGTTTAGTCTTGTAAAATCAAATATTTTGTGACAATATAAAATTAGTCGCTAATTGTTATTTTCAGCAACACTTTCAAAAATTCGTCGCTAAAGATTTTTCTAGACACACTTTTAGTAATTTTTTTTAATGAAGAATTTAATTTTGTCACAAAAACCATATAGAAACCAAAATAATGGTTTTAGGGACCAAAATAATTGGTTGCTAAAAGTCTTATATGTCGTAGTGTGTATATATAACTAAACTATCTCAATCTATTCTCTTTCAGTTTATATTCTATAAATACTACTTCTACCTATTCACAAATGTATTCATTCTAACTCTATCTTTTCTAGTCTTGCCATACATTCACCATAGCATTCTCATCTCAATAACATTCATCTTATTTACAAGTTATTTCTTAGTTGCTCAGCATTCTGTCCTATACAACATTGCTAGAAATTATGCAAAAAAAAAAAAATAAAAAAGATTTTTGAATTTTAGGGTTAGATTTGTAGTGTAAGTAGAATTTGACTCTTTTTTACTAGGTTTTAGGCCTCATTTGGGAATAGAATTTTTTAGTTACTTTTTGATTTTTTGGCTAAAATATTATGTAAAAAAACTAGTATATTTAAGATGACTTTTTGATTTTTTACGAAAAGATATGCAAAAAATAGAAAAAAAATAAAATCTTTAATTTTTTGGTATAGGTTGTTGGTTTTTTAATTTTTTTATTAATTTTTTGACTTTTAAGCTAAAAATTGATGTTGCCAAACGAGACTTTAGTTATAAAAAGTCAAAAACCCACACTGAAAGCCCCCGTAATAGGTTTTAAAAAGCCCATTATTTTGTATTTCAGTGGGACAAACAAAGCCCATTAAAAGGTCGGCTTTCAAAGCAAACCAAACAAAGCCTTAGCCCCCAAAAAAGATCAAGTCTCAACAGGCTTGCTCAAGCCCAGACCCTCACGGCCCAAACTTATACCCAACCCATAACATGCCTAGCTTTTCCATTAAGAGAGTTGCGGTAATCTCAGTCCAGTAATTAAACTAAACCTCCAGGGCCATATTTGTAAAATCATAGATTTGACGTCCCCATTATAAACTCTAACCCTAACCAATCGATCTCTTTATATAATTTTCTACTGACTCCAAACCTTTCACTCACTTCTCGTCTCTGTATTAGTCAAATTTTAGCCCAGGTCTCTCTCTCTCTCTCTCTCTCTCTCTCTCTCTATCTATTTACCCAGGTCTCTCTCTCTCTCTCTCTCTATTTATATATATATATATATATGAACTACGTAGATATGTATATTGATCTGAATTTGGATCTTCGATTTTGTGAGGAAATGAAAGAAAAGCGAGAATGTGTAAAAAAATTATATTTTTAATTTATTCACATTGTGTTTTTAGTAATTAATTTTGTGAAATTCGAGATCCAAAAAGTACGGTGGTGTGATGATGATAAATGTTAATCCCAGCTCATTATGAGGCCTTGGTTTTAGAGACTAAGGCCTGGGAATAGAATCTATCCAACATTTATCTGAGCTTCATAACTTTTTTTTATGTTATTATTTTATTTTAATTTTGATTTTTGATTTTTGATTTATTACTATAATTTTTGTGAATAGAAAACAAGGGTTTGAGCTTTTTAATGTTCCCTGTGATGTTTGTAAGTCTGATGACCATGCTAATTCTGATCAATCTGTGATTGAATCCTTATTTACTTGTTTTACTGAGGGAACATACATTTTTTTGCCATTTTCAATTTTTTACTTCTCTTGAATTGAATTTTTTTTTTTTTTTTTTTGCACATTTAAATCTTATTATATAAAAATATGATTAGTCTAGCATTATTGTTAGAGATCTCCAATCTATAGTACTTAAAATTATCCTCAATCCTTTTATCAATTAGTTATCAAATTAAGAGATATATATATATATATATATGTAAATATTTTTATCAAATTGATAATTAAATTTGAGTTTGATGAAAATTTATAAAAATAAAGGATTGAAGATTGAAATTTTTTCATTAAATTTTATGAAAACAGAAATTTTGGATAAGAAGGATTATTTAAAAGGATTTTGATGAAAGAACATGATTAGTTCATATCAAATCATACTTCTATTCAAATTTGAATTCTCAATTAGATGAAAAATAAGTAGTGAAGAGGTTTTACATGGTAAATTAGTAATGAATTATGTTTTATTTTATTTAATGGCTTTTAAAAATTATTAAATCATAAATAATGAATATTTTCATGCATATAAAATATTAGATTTTATTAATGTGTCTTTAGGGCACATGTTAAAAAGCTTAAAATGTTATATATTGTGTATGAAAATTTTGAAGTTTTCTTAAGATGCCTCTTAAGGGCATGCATTAACAAAATTTTAAATTTTATATAAAATATTAATTATACATTATTGTGTGCAACTTGAAATTTTATTAAAATATTTAAATAGTAAACACATATAATTTGATTATATTAAATATGTTGTTAATGCTAACAAATATATTTAGTGTTGTATCAATTTATCTTGATTATAATAAATTTTATTTTTAATATAATCATTAAATAAGATATATTTATTATTTAAAGATTTTTAATAATTTTTAAATTTAAGATTTTGTTAGGCTGTCTGTAACGTTGCACCAAATCTCTCTTTTTGTGCTCCATTGGTTTCATCAAATTGAGAAAATAACAAATGTTTCACCAAACTGAGGATCTAGGGCACCTTTCACCAAAACACTGTGTAGAATCGTTGCGGATGGTATGCACAGGATGATCGGCCAAACGTTCGGCCGGTTGTCTTCCTGGTCATCTTGTTACTTGAACAATTCTTAGAATAAAGCAATGGTTTGGACTGTCAATAGGATTCCAAAGTTGTTTGCTTCTAAAGCAAATTTGTCTCTACCCTCTCGTCGTTCTTTGCTCTCTCTCTCTCTCGCTCTCTAATTTTGGACTCATCGTGCTTCTTCATTCATTCAATTCAAGCATTCGTAGCCCAAAAATCAAGGGATTTTCATTCCAATCTTTAATCTTGTATGGGGACGAAATATTTGTCGTTCTTTGTACTTCTTGAGTCCAAGCCTCGCATAATGTCGTTCAACCTGAGAACAGAAAGACTGTGAGCTGCCTGACGATATGCTGTCGGATAAACCCTCCGACAATCAAGTTAGCACACTTAGAGAAGAAGAGCAAAGACGGAGCACTTTCTAGAGAGAGAGAGTATGTAAAAAATGGCTTACCTCTAACGGTTGCATGCTCCTTTTCAAGACTGAACATGTAGCCTCAGAGATTGTGGACGCACTACCTCTGTTGTCTTTCTCTGGACAGGCAGTTAAGCTCCCCTCTACATTTCTTACACGTGTAGAGACTAAAACCTTCAAACAGTGTTTGTCGCACTGCCAAATGGTATTGATGCATACCAGTAGTAGATTCTCTTCTCCTTATAATTGGTCCACGTGGAATATTAAACCGAGCTATTATTTGGTGAAGCATAAACCCTATGAGGGATAGGCACTACCAAGCAAAACCAAACCGGTCCACACAAACCGACTAGACGCGGGGCGTGCTGTTCGGCATCCCGGCCTCACATAGCGATTTCGTGTGTCATCTCAGTCCCCACATCAGTCCGAACCATCCATAGCTCGGCCCAACACATTCGTGTAGACCTAATCAAATATCTGGTTCCACGTGATCCTAACAAGGCTAAACACCTACATGCCTCCATAATCTAGGCGACCCCCAGCTCGGCCCAACGTAATGGGTCGAAGCGTTGTGTTGGTGCAGTTCGGCCAAGCACAGCATCTTCGGCCCTCACATGGCCCAACACCATATTCCGTGCTACCGTATCTCAACCCACTTGTTCGACACAAATCTCCCTCTCAAATCTTATTATTTCTCATCTGCCATTTTTCTCTTCAACAAAGGTAGTATACTCTCGAATGAGATATTTGAAGCCATCAGCAAGCTCATGAACTAAATCCTCAGACATTCCTAATGGAATTTCAAAGAATGAATCCACTGTTTCTTTGGCAACTTTCATTATCTCCTACACTGATTGTGCATATGGCTCTGTTTTGGATTTTAGGTTCCATGTCTGCCAACACAAATTTCAATTCTGTTACTCTCAAAAACTGCTTTCAATGTCATATCTTTGTAAAAATTACTTTCCTTTCTTTCATGTGTTCTGATCTTGCAAAAAAATGCATATCAATTTTTTTGAAGGAAGCATTTTTCATCAGTATATTTTATTTTCCTTACATTTCCTTTTAACTCATTTTTCTCAAG